ACTTTTTGAATGCCAGGGACCAAGGGTTGTACTGGGACACTGAGGGATAGATGAAACGGGCTTGATTAGAAGTAGAGAGAAAGGGCAAACAGGCCAATTTCCATAAAGGGGATTCAGAGACTCCTCCCCTCAGTGGCTTGGTCACATGTGCACCTAATACATCAAAGCAGCACCCTCCCCCAGACAACAGCTGGCACTGCTGCCTGCTTCTCAGTTCCCTCACTCACACTCAGCCCCTGGTCCTGGAAAACTACCAAGAAGATACAAGAAAGTACAGGAAACAGGCTCACTGGATGCCATATGCACGCCTGTGGCCCTTCCCCTCATTCTGTCCCCTCGCAGCTGAATCTTAAGACAGACTCCTGTGAGTCTGTCTAAGATCCAGAAAGCCCCTTGGTTTGTGAGAAACAATCACTCCCAGGCCTCTCTGGTACCTTCAGCTCCGTGTGCCCAGAAGGCCGCATGGGACGCAGCAGCTAATACCTGGGAGAGAGGGAAGGCCGTGGAAGTCATGAGGCCTGGGAGGACAGCTCACTGACAATCTACTTCCTAACCCAGGCTGGCTAATGTGTGGAGTTTGCCTTCTGGACTTGTTCCTGAGATCAAAAGGCAAAAGGGTGGGGGAGGAAGAGCCACAGTGTTTACAGGAAGGCAGAGAAGAGAAGTCACAGGCAGGCAGAGCTATTATTCATTTCCCTTCCTCCATACTGTGACCTAAGTTGAAAGTGGTCCTGGTGCCAACTCCACTGTCACTGTCATGCCTGCCACACCCTCCTGCCTCGGCCTGAACCACCCCAAGAGAAGAGCACAGTGAGTCACCGGTCCCCACTTTCTGAAGGGAGACGCGGAGAGCCAGCCATCAGGGGGCGTCAGAGGTGGGGGCGGGACCCAGGCACCCCTGGAGTGTCTCTATCCCAGGTTTCTGTCGCGTCCGCATTTTTTCCCAACTCTCTTTCAGGAGATAAATTTAGAAAGCCAAGACTTGTGACTTCGCGGTGAGAAAAAAATTCATCGTGAGTATTACACATTTCACGATGAGAACTGTGAGTTATGGTTCACAGTGCTACTATCTCCCTGCAGTCTGGAAATTTCATTCCCAACTCTACTCACCCAAGGCACCTAAGAGCCCAACAGGAGTCTCGCCGCTCACGGTTTCTCACCTTATCAAGTCTTATATCCACCTACCCAGAGACTCTGGCAACTCTGGCACCCTTTTTGGAGACGAAGAGCCTACGTTTGACTACCCCATGGAGCCTGACAGTCATCTGCTCCACTGACTGTGACCAGAATCATCCAGGTGACGAGCTGCGCCAGCTGGGATGACCTACCTTCTCCAGGGAGAATGCAGCACACGGCTGGGGCTGCCAGAACACAGCCCGTTGCACAAGCACCCAGCTCCCAGAACTCCATACAGCTCAATCACACACGAGCTGAAGTGTCAGGTGCCACCAGGACCAAGGCCTCACCCTGGGTGGGCTCCTCAGGCAGAGGCTTCCCGACAAGCCCACTCCGAGGCGCTCCAGGAGTGTGGCCCGCCAGGAGCCTCTGTTTACCTGCTGTGTGCATCGCTCTTTCCCCTTCCCCTCTGCTCTTCCTAGCTCAGGTGGCCGTTAAGAATGTCACAAGAGGTTCTGGAATCTAGTTTAGAGTTCACTTTCCCCTTGAACAAATCCTCAACTAAAGATTACCTTTCAAATCACACTTTCCACCTAGACTTCAAGGCAAATGGTGAGAAAATAAAAATACAAGTAAACTTCCAATGACTATTTTCCAGAAGACTTCCCCAAACAGAGAGAGGGTGAAAGTAGCTTCTGCTGTGAGTCTGGACATTATACCCATTATACCCCCATGGGCCTTGCCTTTAATAGTAGCATATTATTAAAGGAATGGTTAGAAAAAAATTTTTCCCCCGAATGCTATTTAATTATTTATGTTTAAGTTGGAGGCCTCACTGTGTTGCCCAGGCTAGAGAGCAGTAGTGCAATCACGGCTGTCCGTAGCCTCGATCTTCTGGGCTCAGGTGATCCTTCTGCCTCAGCCTCCTGCGTGGCTGGGACTATAGGCATGCATCATCACTCTTGGCTCATTTTGTTTTTTGACTTTTTGTAGAGACATGGTCTCGCTATGTTGCCCAGGCTGGTCGCGAACTCCTGGGTTCAAGTGATCCCCTTGCCTCGGCCTCCCAAAGTGCTGGGATTACAGGCATGAGCTAACTCAACTGGTCTTTAAATGTAATTTTAAAAAAACCTCAGTCACCACTTCCTGGCACCTCCCAGCAACAGATGTCACAGGAGGCTGATGAGGCCAATTATGGAAGATGCTCAGCATCTTACTAGTCCCAGATGATACCACACTAGCAGACAGCCAGTCCAGATTCCACTCCCTAGAGCAGGAACTTGTTTGACTGTGACAAGGCAGAAAATACAGTAGAGGCTTCAAATCACTTTGACAAGTTTTCCCATCATAAACCAGGTGCTGTTGTTACCTGCCCCTTTGGTATTACTTAGGATAAGCAGTTTTCCAGGAGATCCTGCAAAGGTTTTAGTGAAAATTTCCAAAAGGGTACTGGACATTTATCCATGAACACCCTCCGCTCAGGGTCTGAAGAAAACAAGCAAATCCTAGTTCAAGACTATTTTCTTGGACATCTTCGTATTCAACCGAAAGGCTCTGCTGTCCCATTGCTCAGACCTGACAAAGCCAGGACTCTCCCCTCCATGGTCATGAGGAAACATGCTAGCAAAAGGTTGACCTGAGACAAATGCCACAGCAGCAAAACCCCAGGGAGAGGGCACCCAGACAACCTACCACATGGCTTTGGTTAGTTTCAAACCAAATTAACAGTCTGTCCTTTTAACTAGTTGCTCAAATCCCCAGGAGTTAAACAAATCATGGGATCAAATCAGTACTGTCTGTAAATGTTTTCCCAGAGTTGCTACTTGAATGAGCACAGAGACTTCCTGCCACAGTGAGCAAGGATGGATTCCCGAGCACTGTCTGCTCAGAAGGGGGTGGGGGGTGGGGAAGGCGGGGACGCAGCACCCATCCTGGCTCCCAGCAGTTCCTTTACCTGTTTCCACTGGGGGGTGGGAGCAGGGCGGCCCTGCTCTGGCAGGCAGCAGGACGGCTGGCTAGCCCCACGCTCTTGTGTCGGCTGGGACACACAGGCCAGGGATGGGTGGGGACAGGACATGGAGACAAAACAAAATAAAACACATTAAGATAGGAGAAGACCAAAAAGGCACACACGGAGGACAGTCACACATCTGTGAACTGTGGGGAGGAGGCAGAATTCATTCTTAGACAGCTACACCTATAAAGAAAAGAAAATAGCCTCCCCTAAACTAAAAGCAAAAAAAAAAAAAAAAAAAAA